TGTGTGTGTGTGTGTCCTGGGGTTTGAATTCAGGGCCAAGGTACTGTTCCTGAGCTTTTGTGTTCAAGCCTAGCACTCTACCACTTGAGCTACAGCTCCACTTCTGGCTTTTTGGTTGTTAATCGGAGAAAAGAATCTCACAGACTTACCTGCCCAGCTGGCTTTGAACCATGATTCTCAGATCTCAGCCTCTGAGTAGCTAGGGTTACAGGCATGAGCCACCAGTGCCCAGATCATGAAGTATTTGCCAAATCCACTGGCCATTTTTTCAGGAGAACTGTGCTGCATTTTAACAATATAGATGCTTCAAACCTGCAAATCAAATGTGCCAAACACAACATTTTTTTTTACAATTATTTTGTCTTTGCTTGCTTAACCATTAGTCTTTCCTTTCTCTCCTCTTCTCTTTCCTTCCACTCTACTTCTCTTTTTTCTGAGATAGGGTCTGGCTAGGCATCCCACGCTTGCAATCCTTCTGCCCCAGCCTCCTGAACACCAGGTTTACAGGCATCTATTCATGCCCATTTCTCCCTATACTTTACTAATCATATTGAATAGATCCTCCATGAGCTTTTCAGCAGCCCACCTGTAAGATGTGGCTATCCCTAGCATTCTATCTTTTGTTCAGTGTTGATGAGCCTCCCTGGAGAAAATCTCCCAATGTCATGGTTTTCAATGCCTCTTCTACACTTGTGACTCCCAAATCTGTATTTCTAGTTCAGATTGAGCTTCAAATGCAACTGTCCATTGGACACATCCACCTTGTTTTTTTCAAAACATTTGATTACGCCATCTAGGAACATCCAGCAACAGGAAGTCATCTCTTTCACTTCCCACACTCGTTCATATGCCAGGTCCTGCCAGTCTATGTTCTACACGTCTCTTCAGGTATTTCCCCTTCTCTTTTTTTATGACCAACTTCCAGCCTGCATTGTCTCTCTCCCGATTTATTTCCTCATTCCATGGGCACTTACCTTACCACCTAGCTCAAAGGCTTGTACCTCCCAAAGCATGTGCTCAATACTTGGCTGGTTTTCTTAAAAATGTAAATCTGACCATATTAAACTTTTTAGATTCTCCAATGTTCCCAGCTGTCTGAAAAATTAAGTTGTAAAGCCAGGTACCAGTGGCTCACTCCTGCAATCCTAGCTACTCAGAAGACTGAGATCGGAGAATCCTGGTTTGAGGCCAGCCTGGGCAAGAAAGTCTGTGAGACTTAGAGGAGTCTTCAGTTAACCACAGAAAAGCCAGAAGTGGAGGTCTAGCTCAAGTGACAGAAGACTAGCCTTGAGCAAAAAAAAATTAAAATTAAAATTAAAAAAATAAAAATAAAAATAAACTAAGCCAGAACTCGAGGCTCTGAATTCCAGCCGTAGCACGCACGCACGCGCGCGCACACACACACACACACACACACACACACACAGAGAAAGAAAAAAGGAAAGAAAGGAAGGAAGGAAACCACAGAAAGCGGTAATAAAATAAGCGAAACTGCACTTTATAAAAAAAAGAAAGAAAGGAAGTGGGGGGAGGCTGGGAAGGGATGGGAAGGGGAAACAAAGGAGGAGGCTACAATGCTTGATAAGAAATATACTCATTATAGGGCTGGGAAGGTGGCTCAGTGGTAGAGCGCTTGCCTTGCATGCCTGAGGCCCTGGGTTCGATTCCTCAGCACCATAAGCAAAAAGAAAAAAGTTGGAAGTGGCGCTGTGGCTCAAGTGGTAGAGCGCTAGTCTTGAGCTGAAGAGCTCAGGGATAGCACCCAGGACCAGAGTTCAGGTCCCACAACTGGACCCCCCCAAAAAAAGAAATATACTCATTATCTTGCCCGTGTAATTGTAACCTCTCTGTACAGTATTTTCACAATAAAAAAAAATAAAGGAAAGAGAGAGGGAGGGAGGGAGGGAAGTAGGGAGGGAGGAAGGAAGAAAGAAAAGAAGGAAGGAAGGAGCAAATGAACAAACGAAAGAAGGAAAGAAAGAAAAAAAAGAAAGAGAAGGAAGGAAAGATCAAGTTGTGGACTCCTGGCACATAGTTTAGGTCCCTATGATCTGGTGCTATCTATTCCAGCTTCCTTTACAACACTGCTTTTTTCGTACAGTTGGTGAGCTGCACACAATTCCCAATGCATGTCTTGCTGCAGCC